CTCTTATCTCCAATAAACCACCAGAAAACCAGAAGTGGCACTGTAGCACAAATGATAGAGCATTAGCCTTGAGCTGAAGAGCTGAGGGACAGTGTTTAGGCCCAGAGTTCAAGCCCCACGACTGGCAAACAAACAACTATTATCGCATCCCATCCTAGAGTGTAGAGCTTAAGACACAGATTCCATCTCCATATTAATAGCCTTGAATTCCCTCTTTTTTTTTTTTTGGTCGGTTGTGGGGCTTGAACTCTGGCCTTAGCTCTTCAGCTCAAGGCAAGTGCTCTACCACTTGTGCCATAGCGCTACTTCTGGTTTTCTGGTTTATTGGAGAGGATAGGAGTTTCTACACTTGATCTTAGCCAAAAGGCCGAGAAGCAATAGGATAGGCGTTTCTTAGACTCTCCTGCCCAGGTGGCTTTGAACTGTGATCTTCAGATCTCAGCCTTCTGTGTAGCTAGGATTACAGGCATGAGCCACTGGTGCCCAGTTTCTCCCCCTCCCTTTTTTTTTTCCCACTACTGGGACTTGAATTTAGGGTATGGGTACCATTCCTTAGCTTTTTCACTCAAGATTGGTGATTTACCACTTGAGCCATGGCTCTACTTTTTTTTTTTTTTGGGGGTCCAGTCATGGGGCCTGAACTCTGGGCCTGGGTGCTGTCCCTCAGCTCTTCAGCTCAAGGCTAGCGCTCTACCACTTGCATCACAATGCCACTTCCGGCTTTTTTCTTTTTTCTTTTTTGCTTATGTGGTGCTGAGGAATCGAACCCAGGGCCTCAGGCATGCAAGGCAAGCGCTATACCACTGAGCCACCTTTCCAGCCTCAAGACCACACTGTTTTTGCAGGAATCAAATGTTCAAGGAAGAAGAAAGGTATAACACTTATGCCTTCATTTCTCTTTGGGTTCAGATAGCATAGGGAACCCCTCAAAAATAAGGTAAATACTAGGGCTGGGAAGGTAGCTCAGTGGTAGAGTGCTTGCCTTGCATGCATGAGGCCCTGGGTTCCATTCCTCAGCACCACATAAGCAGAAAAAGCTGGAGGTGGTGCTGTGGCTCAAGTGGTAGCGTGCTAGCCTTGAGCTGAAGAGCTCAGGGACAGCACTCAGGCCAAGAGTTCAGGCCCCATGACCAATAAAAAACATAAAAAAACAGAAATAAATAAATAAATAAGGTAAATACTTACCTCACCCCGCTCCAAGTACCGTCTCATAGCTCTTTTATTTTGAATTTGGCGCCCACGCCAATAGAGAAAAGTGCAGCCAAGAATCAGGGAAATAAATGCCAGTCCTGCTACCAAAGCCATTGCCAGATGGGCTTTGCTATGGGAAATAGAGAAGCCCAGCATTACCCTGGTTTTACATTTCCCTCACAAGTATCACCTATACTACACTGAAGGTTAGTTGCAAATATGGGGCAAGAAGTCACCATTTACATATGTTCTCCAGCATTGAAGGAGTTAACCTAAATGTGGAACCTTCTCTACCTTAGTCTAGTTAAGTTTGTTGTCAGAAAGGAGGCCCACCCACAAGCTAAAATAGTGGAATAAGTACATAGAGATCTAGAAGATCAGAATAGCAAGTTTTCCCCATGGATAGCCACCATCTCGCTCTAGATATCGCCCAAATATCCCCAGCATCCAGAATTTTCAAGCTTGTCATACCTGATCAGCACCACTGTTTGGCCTAAACAGTCTTGTAGCTCTGGTCCTGTACACCTAGAGAAGAAAGTCATCCCACTTAGACAGGTTCTTGGACAACAGAGGCTCAAGTTCAACAGCCTCAACAGACAAGAAAGCCTGTTTCAGAACAAAACTATTATGGTAGCCGGGCGCTGGTGGCTCATGCCTGTAAGCCTAGCTACTCAGGAGGCTGAGATCTGAGGATCACAGTTCAAAGCCAGCCCAGGCAGAAAAGTCCATGAAACTCTTTTTTTTTTTTT